GTAGGGCCTCAGCTTTCGGGCGGCTACCACGAAAGCTAAGGCCAACTTTTCCAGAAGTGGTTAGCGGGTTTATGCTCCCGTTAAAATCTTGCTAACGTAATATGTGGAGAATTGCATACCTTTTTCCTCCCGGACTAAAACTGCGCTTACCGCAACTTCTGAGACCGCCAGGTAGACCAGCAATGTTTCTCCTTCTTTAGGTTTCGAGAGCAATGGAGGGCTTGACAGGTTCCTCTTCAATTCCTTCAAGGCTTACCGACACTCTGGCGTCCACTTGAAGTTGTTTTTATTTTTGAGCAGTGCGAAGAAGCGATGACACTTTTCTGATGATCGGGAAATGAACCTGCTCAAAGCCGCTAATCTGCGTGTGAGTCTCTGTACTTCCTTTACATTGAATAGTTGATCCGGGATGTCCTCTATGGCCTTGATTTTGTGGGGATTCACCTCAACTCCTCTTTGTGAGACCAGGAATCTTAAGAATTTACCTTATCCGACCCCGAACGCACACTTCTCGGGGTTAAGCTTCTTATTGTGCTCCCTCGGTTTGTCAAACGTTTCTTGCAGATGTCTCAGGTGGTTACCTGCATGCAGGGACTTAACGAGTATATCGTCTATATATACTTCCATAGTTTTTCCTATTTATTTTTCAAACATCTTATTTACGAGCCGTTGGTAAGTGGCTCCGATATTTTTTAGTCCGAAGGGCATTACGTTGTAACAATATGTACCATAATTTATTATAAACGAAGTCTTTTCCCGATCTTCTGGGTTCATCTTGATCTGATTGTACCCAGAATAGGCATCGAGGAAACTCATTAACTCGTGCCCGGCCGTAGCGTCGATCATTTGATTAATATTTGGCAATGGGAACGAGTCCTTCGGGCATGCCTTATTAAGATCTTTATAATTTACGCATACGCGAAATTTATTACTCTTCTTAGGAACTAGTACCATATTAGCTAGCTAGTCCGGATGTCTTACCTCTCGGATTGAACCAATCTTAAGTAGACGGGTTACCTCTTCTCTGATGAATTTATTTCTTGCTTCGGCAATAGGGCGCTTCTTTTGCCTTACCGGAGGTATGCTCGGGTCCAAGCTTAACTTGTGCACGACTATCTCTGTTGGTATTCCTATCATATCCTCGTGCGACCATACAAAACAATCAACGTTAATTTTAAGGAATTCAATAAAATCTGACCTGAGCTCTGTGTGTAGTCCTCTTCCCAAATGGAATTTCCTTTCTGGGAATTTTTCAAACAGTGCAGCCTGCTCTAGTTCTTCTGCCGTGGGTTTCATTGCGTCCGTTTCTTCCGGTACTTGTAAATACCTTGGTATATGATATTGCTCCGACTCTCTTGCCCCCGGGGAAATTTCCTCCGGTTCGGGGGCGGAAGCCGGTTCCGGTAACTGCTATGCCGTAGGTTTCTTTCCTTTGCTCTGGGAGGTCGATATTGCGTTCATCTTTCTTATGGCCAGTTGATCACCTCTCATCTATTTGATCCCCTCAAGTGTGGAAAATTTCAGCAATTGGTGGTACATAGAAAGCACAACTTTCATCTCGTGCAGCCACGGCCTTCCCAAGATGATATTATAGCCCATGTCTCTATCTACTACTTCTAAGAGAGCCGTCTTTGTTACGCCCTCGGCCTCTATGAGCAGTAAAATATCCCCTCGGGTTGTTACGCTTGCGAGGTTGAATCCAGCAAGGAGCTTTGTCACCGGGATGATGCTCCCGGTGAGTTTAGCTTGATCCAGAACTCTCCATTGTATGATATTAGCAGAACTTCCTGGATCCACTTAAACACGTTTAATTTTAAAGTTTAACACATTTAAAGAGATTACTAGTGCGTCATTATGCGGCAGTAGTAGTCCGTCCGTATCTTCATCCGTAAATGTTATATCTTCTTCCCAAAGCCTGATGGTAGGCTATAATCCTGTATTTTAGTCTCTTATTGCACTCTAATTTACTGCACTTTACCCATGTTGAGCTTTAATTAGTAGCGTTTTACACTTATTATGTGTTTTATACTGTGTAGGAGTGATTCCGAGTTATTTAGATGTTATGAAATGAATTCAAGCTATTCTGGAGCTTTGAAGTCTGAGTAAAAGTCCAAGGATTAAGTTGGAATCGTGTTCGGAGATCAACGGATGATAGTGCACTTTAAGAACGAAACGAAGAATCGAACAGGCATACTGCGCATTATCCAGTAAAATGCACATAACGTTTTGCTTAGAAATCCGTTTGGGCTCCATATTATATCGTTGGAAATCTATTTAAAAGAGCTACAACTTTTATGCTTTACATTTTCCCAAATTCCTAACTGCCGCGGCGCGAGGCGCAGCGCGGCTGTGCAAAATGTGCCCAGAAAGTGATTTTGCAAATGTTCTGGAATTCTCCACAAGCGCGCCGCATGGTGCGGCGCGGTAGTGCAAAATTCTTAGAGTATGTTCCCAATGCTACTAAAAGGGTGTTTTCGTTTGGGGTTTATTTAGGGGATAGTTAAACACGGGAAAAATACCATTTCTGCACTTTTGGATAGATTTCGACCTAGGGAGGCCAAGGAGGCTAAGGAGGAGTTTGAAGAGTACAAGCACAAGGATTTCATCATTCCTTCCACACTCAAGATCCGGGTTTGGATTGTATTTATGTTTCCATCTACTTTTATTTCATTTGTGAAGAACTTCTCCATGTCTATGGAGTATAACCTTTTGGTTTTTGATGGATTTGGTGTATTGATGATTATTTGTTGATTATAACTCTATTTTTATGTATTTGAATCATTTTGGGAAGATTAAATTGTTGCACCTATGTTCACTTGTTCTTATAATCGAGAGAGATATAACTTGTGATATATTTGCACTATATTGTTGGTTGAATTCATAGATTCTTCGAAGTAATCAAAAGAGGCTAGTTGAATCCTTGATTAAACCTAGTTAGGAGGATAATCGAAAGAGGTTATCCTAAAGACCAATCCATTACAAATTATTGCATATCTTCACCGAGCTTAAATTGGTTCATATTGTGAGGTTGAGAGTTAATCAAGAGAGGAGTTTCTACTAAATAATTGTACTGATAATTGAGTGAATTCGAGAGACTCACTTGATCATTAGTAGTAAATTATCTAGAATTAGATCCCAACAATTATCTTGTACCTATCCTATCAACCCATATTTTCTCCCATTGATAACTTCCTTGCTTACCTTTGTTGCGATTGTCATTAGTCAATAGCTTTAGATTCTTAGTTAATTGTAGTTAGAATTCATATAAATCTTCATTATTGATCCTTCTGGGTAGCAATCTAGCTACAAACTACGAGAACACTGTTTAAATCCAATCCTTGTGGACACGATATTATACTATACTATCTTTAACTAGCGAGCATAATTTTTTTCGTATTTATGGGTGAAGGTACCTCTATTCTCTCTCATCTTGACACTTTTAATTCCATTCTTATGGATTTGAGTAATATAGATGCTGAAATTACAGATGAGGATCAAGCCGTGTTACTGCTTTATTTTCTACCCCCATCTTTTAAGCATATAAGAGATACTATGCTTTATGCAAAGGATAATATCTCTTATAAGGATATTAAATCTATCTTAAAATCAAAAGAACAGATAGATAGTGATATTACTGGGGAAGCTAGTGGAACTCAAGCGGAAGTTGGCTTGTTTGTTAGGGGTAAATCCGATTCCATATCTAGATACAATAATTTACAGTGTCGCTATTGTCATAAGAAAGGTCACAATATCTCTGAATGCTATAAACTGAAAAATAAAGAAAAGCATAAAGAAAGAAAAAATGAGCACAAAAATACTGACACCGCCGAAGCTAGTGTAGCAACTGATGAGATTGAGGGAACTATATTTTTAGCAACTGAAACTAGTTTCAGATTAGACAATGAGTGGATTTTAGATTCCGGTTGTTCATATCATATGTGTCCTAGCAGGGACTTGTTTTCTACATATGATTCAGTTACAGGTGGAGTTATCCAACTGGGTAACAATGTTACTTGCAACGTTATTGGCAAAGGTACAATTCGGTTCAGAATGCACGATGATGTGGTGAGAACTCTCACCGATGTTAGATATGTTCCTGAGTTGAAGAAAAATCTCATATCTTTGGGAACTTTAGAATCCCTTTGGGTGCAAATTCACTAGTGAAGGTGGAGTTTTAAAAGTTTTTCAAGATGCTCTTGTGATCATGAAAGCACACAGATCTGGTTCGTTGTATACTTTATTGGGTTCCACTGTTATAGGCCCTATTACAGTTTCGGTATCAGATAACTTGTGTGATTTTGATGGCATTAAATTTTGACATATGCCCATTGGGGCTTTTGCGGAGAAGGTGAAGCAAATTTACTATATAAGCCAAAATTAGGCCAAGGTGGAGATTTGTAAAAGGTGGCCTTATTTTTAGGTTTTTTATTTGTGAGCCTTGTTGGCACATTTAGAGCCTTTTATTTAAGGCCTTGTTGGCCAAATAAATGGCCTTGTATTTTGAGAGGATGTGGCCAATTATTGGCCAAGCATTTCTTTCTTCTCTTCCTATATAATGAAGACTCTCTACTCATTTGGAAACACACCAACAAGACTTGAGTGTTCATTTCTTGTTTCTTCCTTTCTTCCTTTATTAAGAGTATTTTGTATGAGAGTTAGTGTTGGGAAGCACTTGTGTGAACCCTTTCTTTGGAGTGACCTTGTGAGGTTATTCCCTTAGGGTATTTGGGATTAATTAGAGTATTTACTCTAATTTTGTACTCTCTTTTGTACTCTTATTATTATAGTAAATTGCCTCTCTCCGCTTGTGGACGTAGGTCACTTTGACCGAACCACGTTAAATTTGTGTCTTCTTTATCTACTTTAATTGTCGTTGTTATCAACTTCCATTGTCTTTGTTATTGTCATTATACCGTTGTTTGGCTATATTCCGCACTACCCGGGTTCCCGATCCGAACAAAAAGTTAAATTGACAGAGAAGATACGAAACAAAAATAATAATGGTAAGAAAGTAAAACTAATCGCAGGCTATAAATTACACAATTTAAAAAAAAAAATAAAGAGGAAGAAGAAAGAACTAAACTTCCTTCAAGGAAGTTGATAAAGAATACAACACCACCTTCCTCCTCCTCTACATTCTATTAACCAAAATTAGACAAATTACAACACAACAGGAGCTAACTATCTTTTAATCAAGAATACAAAACCAAACGCCTAGAACAGAAAGTACAGATATACTTCCTCTTGAACCTAAAACAAATGGGGAGAAAGCAGAATCTGAGACGTTTTTCTACATCTATAGCTTGTACTTTTCCTCCACAGTAAGGACATGCCCCTGCTGCTGCTTTTCTTCCTAGCTCTTTTTCTACTTCTTTACAAATACATGGGACGAACAAACACATCCTCTTAAGTTTTTGTTTCCTCACTTTTGATCCTATTGAAATTGTTCTTTTGCATTTTGAGAAGGTTTGGTC